TTTTATTGTTTTATTATTCATATGTGCATACAATGCTTGGGTCATTTCTCCCCCCTGCCAAATATTTCATTTCACGTTTATATTGTGTAATATTTAGGTCAGGTTAAATTTATTTATGTCAAACATTTCTTTGTGGTAAAGACATACAAAATCTTTCTTTTTGAATTGTATACTACATTATTGTTATTTATCATCTGTTTCATTGTCATCTTGCAGGAACATCTTGCTTAAGTGTGCGTGTGTTTGAGGATGCTTTATAAAATTAAGGAAGTTATTTCCCACTTGCTGAGAGTTTTTACTTTTAAATGAGTATCAAATTTTATCAAATATCCTTTTTTCAACTATCAAAGTGATCTTTGAGCCCTTTCTGTTAATGTGATAAATTATATTAATAGATTCTGATGTTGATCATTCTTTCATTACTTTTAATGCATGCTAGATTTGGTTTTCTGGGGGTGGGGGCTGTTGTTTAGGGGTTTTGTGTCTGTTTATGATAGAGTTTTCTTACACTTTCTTTTGTAATATGCTTAGCTGGTCTTGGTATAAAAATCACACTGATTTCATTGAACAAGCTGCAAAATGGCTTTACTTTTGGTTTTGGCTTTTTTCCTGCAGAAGAGCTTTATAGTAAAATGAATTGTGCAAGGAGTTTTCCCTGTGGAAAGGTTTTTAATTAATATAGTACTATTTTATTTTTCTCTTTGATGTTTTGTCAGTTTTGGTAAATTATATGTTTTTCAAGTCCTTTTCTCATTTCATGTAAATTATGTATTAAATTGGCATAATATTTTCCATAATAGCCTCATTATAGTTTTAAAGCATTATCATTGCTATTGTAAATTTGGATTCTCTTCCTTTGATCTTGATTAGTCTAATTTTATTTATTTATTTATTTTGTAAGTGTCAAGTTTGGTCAGGCACCAGTGGCTCATACCTATAATCCTAGCTACTTGAAGTTTGAGATTGAGACTCAGAGTTTGAGGCCAAGCTGGGCAAAAAGTTCATGATACCCGCACTTCAGCCAATAGCTGGGTGTGGTGCATGCCTGTCATCCCAAGATACATGAAAGGCTAAAATTGGGAGAATTGTGGTTCCAAGCCAGCTCTGGCAAAAAAAAAAAGTTTGCAAACCCACATGTCAGTGGAAAAAGCTGGATATGTGGTGCATGCTTCTCATCTCAGCTACAGCGAGAAGCTTAAAATAGGAGGATCCTGATCCAGGCCAGCCTGGACAGAAAGTGAGACCCTATCTCTAAAATAACCAGACAAAAAGGGCTGGAGGTGTGGCTTTTTAAATGGTAGAAGCACCTGTGTACTAAGTGCCCTTAAAAAAAGAAAAGAGGTTTAATTAGCCGTTTTGGAGGCTGAAAGTCCAAGATCATATGTTCTGCCCTGTCTTTTGCTTTCATTGTGTTTACAGTAGTCTATTTATTTTTAGATCACTTTGCATTTTAAACTAGTTGAAGTTCATTGAACTTCCTAAATGTATATGTTACTGTTTTTCAACAAATTTGGGAAATGTTCAGCCTTTGTTTCTTTAAATACTTTTTCTGGTTTTTGTTTCTTCTTTTTTTCTGGTACTCCTATTAGGTATATGTTAATGTACTTAATAGTGTTCTATAGTACTCAGAGACTTTTTCTTAATACTTTATCTGTGGATTATATGATCTCTGTTGATACAAGTTCACTAATTCTACCACTTCATGTCTATGATTGAGCTCTTCTACTGAGTCTTTTATTTCAGTTATCCTATTTTTCAATTCCAGAACTTTCATATTTTTAACTCTCTACCTCTTTGTTGATATTATCAGCTTTTGATGGCATTGTGTTCATGTCCTCCTTAATTTTATTAAATCATGGTTTCCTTGTAAGTGGCTTGAAGGCTTTGTCTTATAAATCCAACATGTAGATGCAATCAGTTTGTTTTCTGCTTTTTTCCCTCAGTGTGTCAGACATTTAGTAGTCTCCAGTAATCTCTGATTCACTTATGTTGCATATCACTTTATTGAAATAGAATTCCACCCCCCATGTGTGCATATCATTTTATTAAAATAGAATTCCAACCTCTACTGTTCTTGTCTCTATCTACCATCTTGGTATATGGCACTGCTATCCTCCCCAGTTTATTCTGCACCTATCCTGGATTTCTCCCTCTTTTAATTTCAATCCATCACAAATTCTTTTGAGTCTAAAATATTTTCTTCAGTTGAGGGGACCCCTTTTACCATCTCTACTGGCATACCATTATCTCTTATCAGACTACTGTTAATAACCTAATTTGTTTTCTTGCCATTATTCCCCTTCATATCCTTTATTGCCAGTTTATTCCCTGAGGATTGTCCTTCCAATTTTACTATGATAGGAAATTACAGTGTTTTTCTCCTATTTAAAATCTTTCAATGACATCAACCACACTGGACTTTCTTGAAGTATTCTCAGATTCTTTTCTGCTCTAGGGCATTTGAACTAATTGAAGAATTCTCAGCCATTGCATAGCAATGGCTCCACCCTGTTTCTTTTAGTTTTATTTACTAGTTTTCTTACCCAGGTTAGTATTTATTTACTATCATACCTTTTCTTTTACTATCCTAAGAGTATTATAAGTAGTAGCTACTTTAGTCATGTCTGTAAGATGAATGAATTGTGACTAAACTAATTTGGCAAGATTTCCTTTGAACCAAATCTTAATCAATAGCCTGGTTTCTGATTTGAAACAGCTGTTTCTTGATTACAAAAATCAGATGGATATTTTCTCTTCATTTATATATATATCAAAACTAAATCCTGGACCTACTGATTTTGTGCCTTAAAAAATAACTTATTTCATAGTTTTTCCTTAATATTTTAGTTAGCTGACTTATTTTTGTCACAGTCCTAGACATGTTCATTTTGTTTTTGATAGAGGGTTCAAACCCAGGCTTGCCTCAAATTTGCAATCCTCCTGCCTCAACTGCTGCCTCAAGTGCTGCCTCAAGTGCCTAAATTCTGAAGTTACAGGGGTGCATCACCATTCCTGCTTCTTTTGAAGTAGTAAACCATGAATTTCTTGTGCATGTTCAGGTAGTAACCTCTTTAATTACTCTTTATTTGTGCATTTATTTATTATGGAAGTTTTGGGTTTTGTTTTTCGTCTTGATTCCTATATCTTTAGCTGGAAATTTATCCTCTCCAGATAGCTATGGGGGTGCCATATATATATATTAAACATCTGGAAGTGAATTTTTGCTTTTAAAAGCATGAACAAAAACATGATATAGCATAAAATTCTTACTCTACAGCCTCTTCCCCTTTAGAACTCTGTAGTAATTATTCTATTTTCTTTAGACTTTTAGCAGTGAGTAGAAAAATGAGGCCTTCTTATTTTTGTTTTTTTTTTTTGTTTTGTTTTTTGCTTTAAGGGAACATCTATACTTGTAACTTTTCATCTTGAATTTCACAGTAATGTATTTCAGTGGTGACTTCTTACTTGGGTTGGTTATTAGAGAGCTTGTTCACACAGAATTAGTTCTTTATTCAAATCAAGAAAGTCTGCTTCTATTATCTTTTGTATATAACTGCTTTTAATTTGCTTTAGTCCCTCTTAGAACTGTCATCTTTTGAGTAATTCCAGTTTTGTTCTCTGTCTTCAATACTTTAGTATCTATCACCTTGTTTTTTGTTGTATTAAATCATTTTTCTACTGATAGTGTGTTTCTTAGTTTTTTTTTTTTTCCCAGCACTGGGGTTTGAACTCAGGACCTCACACTTGCTAGGCAGGCACTCTAACCATTTGAGCTACTCCTCCAGCCCTGATAGTATGTTTTTGACCAGTGTTGAATGAGTTTATTTTTAATCTTCTTCTTCGTTTATAGTCTGATGTGTTCCTTCCTTCCTTCCTTTCCTTTCCCTTTCTTCTTTCCTTGACAGTGCTGGGGTTTGAACACAAGACCTACCCTTGAGACACCCCCCAGCTCTTTATGCTTTAGGGTCTTGTGTTTTTGCTCAGGCTGGCTGCAAAGTACTTATGTCTCTCTTGTAGCTGGGATTATAGGTCTATGCCACCATGCCCTGCTTATTGGTTAAGATGGGTGGGAGGAACTCCCTAACTTTTTTGCCTGAGCTGACCTCAAACAGCAATCTTCATGAGCTCCACCTCCCCAGTAACTGGAATTACCACATGCACCACCATGCCCAGCCTGTTTTACATGGTTTTGTATCTTTTGTAGTCTTTTTCTTCATTCTGGCACCCCATAGGATTTATGAAGTTTTCTTCCTATGTCAATTATTCTTATATCAAAAGCAGGTTCTCCAGACTTGAGTCTTTATGTAGGAATGTAATCTTGAAACCATTTTGCTCTGTAAATTACACTATTTATATAACTCTGTCTTTAATAGACTTTCAAAATTACAAACATCATCATCTTTTCAGCATTATTGCGAGGTTAATTATGCTTCCAAATGGATTTAGTAAAAAAATAGGTAACCGGAAGGAAGTATTGTAGGAGAGTACATCTCCATAAGAAACACTGTGATAGAGACAAAGTCTTACCAGAGAGACTGAAATATATGTAGACTTTTTGGAAATCCATGTTTTACTTCGTGAAAATTTGGGGCTAACAGATGGGTATCAAGCCTTCATGGTGATAACTTTGTAATAACCCTTTTGGTTTTCATCACGAGGTCAACGAAATGGTGTAGGAAGGTGAATCACATATTCATATAATTTTGTTTGTTTCCATGATAGGATGAAGCTATATGAGTATTTTTATAATACTTTGTAAAATAATGTCTTACCTATTAAATTAAGTTTGTTTAGATTTCAAGTGTTAACTGTGGCAAAATCTTATGATTTCATTTCTTTACAAATATTAAATTATTTGAAATACATTAAAATTATTACTTGTTTGAGGCCCCATATGTTCTTTCAAAATCTAATTTTGAATAGTAATTCTTTCATGACTATTTAAATATATCTCGTGTTGTTTCTCTCAAACGTTTTCATCAGCAAGTTAAACTTCTTTTCTTTGTAGGTAAGTTACTTAACTTTGTGGAATACTGCATAACTCCTAAAAGACTGCAATAAGGTAGCAATGTCTCGGGAACCCACTCCACCTCTGCTTGGAGATATGTCTACTGGCCCTATAGCAGAAAGCTGGTGTTACACACAGGTATGTGTGTTTAAAATTGCATTACTTTATGACACTTCTAAATTTTGTAGTATCTTGAGAATATTATTGTAAAACACTTTGACGTACTTAATTAGAAGGATTTATAGAATGAATAGGATATTTGACATGTGACAAGTTAAAAACATAAGAGTCATCATTATAAAAAAGTGATTTTCTGAATCTCTTAGGTTAAAGTAGTAAAATTTTCCTACATGTGGACCATTAATAACTTCAGTTTTTGCCGAGAAGAAATGGGCGAAGTGTTAAAAAGTTCAACATTTTCATCTGGTCCAAGTGACAAAATGAAATGGTAAGATTTTTGTTTTGGATTGTGCTTTTTGTTTTTGATGTGATTGTCAGCTACTATGGTTTGTTATTGCAAGTAGATATTAAGTTGACATTTACATTAAGTTGATAACAAGCTCCTAATAGTGCAAAGAATTATATAGAACTGTGGATATGTTTACAGGAGTATTATTTCTCATATTAACAGTATTGTCTCTCTTTTTTGTATGCTTCAAGTAGTATTCAGAGTGATCCTGTTGTTTTATTTTAGGTGCCTGAGGGTAAACCCAAAGGGATTAGATGATGAAAGTAAAGACTACTTGTCCTTATATTTGCTTTTAGTCAGCTGCCCCAAAAGTGAAGTTCGAGCAAAATTCAAATTTTCCCTTCTGAATGCTAAAAGGGAAGAAACAAAAGCAATGGGTAAGTGATTCGCAAACTGTGTGAAGTCTCTGTGTAACTATATACTATGATTTCTGCACATTTACCTAGAAAAGTTTTAGATTCCTACTGTAATCTGATTATCCTAAAATATTTAATTTGGCTACTATTAAATTTTTAATTTTAGTGTAGAGTTGTAGTTGTTTCACTGTCTTTGAGAGCATAAGCCATATGAAAGTTGTTAATACTATAATTTAACTTCTTCATGCCCTAAAATAACATTTCAGTTGTTACTTGGAAAAATAGTTGCTATAAGGACAAGGTGCCTCATATAAATAATAGGTGTTTAACAAATATTTCTCTTTTCCCTTGCCTTCTTTTGCTGCAAAATGAAATCTGGAGAACAATGCAAAGGAGATAGAATGCTCCAACATTTTGTTACTAGAATTTTTTGAACAATGAACTCAATACTGACTGAAAGAAAATGAGTTTTTCTTAAAGTCAAGGCCTATTAAATTCAGCCAGGATTTGCACATATATATAGCCTTAGCTGAAGTAAGTACTGCAGCCTGGAACTTCATAGTAGAACAGTATTTTGGAAATGTATAATTGTACATAGTAGGATAATATCTCATGAACTGACAGGAAGGAAGGAAGAAGGGAAGGAAAGGAAGGAAGGAGGGAGGGAGGAAGTCTTCCCTTTCTACTAGATTTTATCTGGCTTTTGTTCTTAAAAGATCCGGAAGTCTTAAATTGAACTTGCTAATTATGGCCAAAATTTGAGCAGCAGTATAAAGTGATCTATTCCCTCTTGATTCAGTTCTTAGACTGTCGTATTTGTGAGCATCTATTATTTTTATAATGCATGTATTGGCCAAATCCTATTTTTTCATATTTCATTTAACTGTGCTATCATTAAGAAAAATGTCTTTTGGATACTTGTTTTATTTAAACTTCTGTTTTCCACCAGAAAGCCAAAGAGCATATCGATTTGTGCAAGGCAAGGACTGGGGATTTAAAAAATTCATTAGAAGGGATTTTTTGCTTGATGAAGCTAATGGTCTTTTACCAGATGACAAGCTTACATTATTTTGTGAGGTGGGTATGTTTTTTACCATAAAAAACTCCATGGTCCTATTTAATAATATGGCAAAAGTATAAACTATATTAATTCTGAGTATACTTTTTAAATTAAGTAATTGTGTAATTAATAAGGGTTCATTTGTAAATGTTTGACCAAAACATGCTGACTCAATTCCTTACAAATCAATATGGTAGCCCAATCTAAAAATTTTTATCCCAGCTCTAGCTGTAAATTTTATGTGTAGTTATGCTGCCACATACTAAATTCCTCTTCCTCTAGAAAAGATGATGATGTGCATTCTTTTGTGAACATTTCTAAATATTTTCTTCATTCTAAATAAGTGACATAGAGGGCCAATTTTTCTTTAGATTCATCATATAAAACCATTATTACTCAAAGTTGATCAGTTTGAATATAAAAGTGCCTCCAAAAGATTGGGAAGCCTTTTAAGCATTTAAACAATTGGATTAATTTAACCAAATAAGTGTTAGCATTCCATGAAATACATCTCAAATTATAAAGATTTGCACATATATTTTTCCAGATATTAAAGTAAACTTATATGCATAAAACATCATATTTTGAAAGTTTACTAGTATTGCCCCGCCAATAATTTGCACTTATGATTTGTTCAAGATTAGAATTAGCTTCTGTCATTATTATCTTCTATATGTCACTGTTTTGTTTCTATATGAATTTTTGGGACTCATCTTGGGAGTGAATTCAAGGATTATTTTGTATTACCAATACAGTTGCATTGAAATGTTAGAAGCAATTGATAATTCTCATAGGAAAATTAGCTCAACATTAAGTTAATGTAGACAGATGCCTTACCTGCTAAGTTAGCTTTAATCTCTTCGTAGCAAATGTGTGTGCAAAATTTCTTTGCAAGATTATTAATTTGTCTTTAAGTTATATCATAATGAAATATGGCCCCACAGATGATATAGTACATCTGTTTTCACCTGGATACAATAAATGAACTATAGATTAATTTGTTATAAATGCAATTTTTTGGTTGATAAAGCACACACCACCCAGCTCTTGGACAGGGCTTCTCATTAAATAATTTGGAAAAAAAACCCTAAAGCATTTGTTGCCAGCAGCCAGGTAATCTAAGTAGTAGTCTAAATAAATGTAAATTATACTAATTAAAAATTTTAGCACCCTTATTGTAGAATTTACAGAATTTTAGCAGTTATCTTAAATTTGAATGTGTTAATTTTTTAAAGTGTCATCTTCCAATTTAATGCTCCTTAAATAAAGCTTATTTAATTCTTAAAAAGCTCAAGGTCTTTGTGAATGAACCTTTTTAGAAAACAATCCCTACATTAGCATTGAAACAGTGTTTACAGATATTTTCCTAAGTGTATTGTACTGGAACCTAGACAACAAAGAAATTCAGAATTAAGGCTGAAATTAAGTTTAAGATTTTTTTCCCCATAAGTACATTTGAAGTATGCTTAGTATCTAGATGCTAGATTATACACACGTTTGTGACCCTCTAAAAATAGACTCCACCATGGCATACAACTTTAAGTTGGCATTGATTAGCTCTATTTTTAGATGCCAAAAAATAGGCACCATTTTCCTAATGTAGACATTTATACCCTGGGCACCATATTTAGTATAGTTGGGCAAAAAGTGCTTTTAAACAACATTCTTCATGCCCTCCATTTCTTCCACCCCTCTCATGGATGCCCTTCCTTCTACAGCATCTCCAGCACTGCTTGCAGAAAAGGAGGAAGCTTTGCACTGCCCTACCTAAAGAACTGCCTCCTCCCCCTCCCCTGCAAGTGGTGCTGTAGACAGGTAAGGCAGGTGGGTGCTACCCTTGTGTACAAGACAGCTTAATTTCGCAAGGTCCATATAGTATGACTAAATTGGCCAGAGGTAGATGAAGCTATCTAGTAATATAATGGTCTGCCTCCTCTCTTCCAAAGTGATGCAGAAAACAGGAAGTGAATACAAGTAAGAGAAGTAGAAAACTGGTTAGATTAATTCATCTTTTGAAACCCAACAAAATTTAAATACTCTTTATAAGTCTACAGATCCATGCCATTTGTGATATACAGAAAGAATATGTATGTACAGATAAAATATCTAAGGAGTTTTCATAGAGCTAACTCATTAGTCTTTTGAGGGCACATCTTTTTTTTCCCATCCTATTTGTCTTTTGCTAGGATATACAATAGCCTTTCTATTTTAAAATATTTACAGTAGTGGGTGGAAGTTGGGTTTTATTTTCTAAAAGCCCTTTCTTAGCAAAATGAAAAGCTGACTACCCTTTTTCTGTCACCAGATTTCTGCAAATGACACCTACTTGAAAGTCAGAAACTCTAAGACATACTAGTCTAGAATGCAGTAGAAATTCAAACTCTTAAAAGTTACTGCCTCTGGAGCCAGTGTGGGGGATGGTAGGTAGATTATTATAGTGGCAGCATTGTAGTATAATGCAGCTTTGGAAATTCCTAGCTTTTAGGATTAGTTTGAAAAATTGGAACCAGTTGTCACCTTAGTTCCACAGTGGGGGAGACTTAAATTTTTAGAATAGTCAGAGTTGGTTAGATCTCTCAAATGTTCATCTTTACTCTAAAGCATATCCTTAGGATTGACAGCCAAAAACATGTTTAAAAAAGGACTGTCAAGTCATGTCAGCAAAGAATCTCAGCCTTCTTCCTGAATTTTTAATTCTAGGTTCCATGAGTAAGATTGTTCATTGTCTGTTTTTAATATGTAATAGAGAAAACTAAATTTTATCATTTTCTTAATTATAGGTATGGAGTAAAACAGTCATCAAAAATCATAACATATCAATTTTTAATTAGGTCACTAATTCCTGTTCTATAAATACTCACTTGAATACTTTGGGGAATATGAGATGTTAATTATGTATGTTAGTTTAAATTTGTGGTTGCTGTGATAGTATTAGATAGGAATGTTAGTAATACAAATCCTTCTGAATGAAGATTGATTATCAGAGTATATATAATACATCATCATCAACATCTGTGCCTGATGATAATGTCTATATTTTCTTATCCTTGTGCTTTTTTTTAATCACCTGGCTTTTGCCACATTTTACATTAAAAACATTATTTTAAGATTTAACTGGTCTATATTTGAATTGGTTATTCGGTATTTAATTTGATTGTCACCTGGACAGAGTCTACCTGTGGATAAATAGCTAGGACAACTTGCAGGAAGGCTTGAAGGCAATAAGGTTATAGTGTTACCTCCACACACTAACTGCTTGAATTATAAATTTAAAAAACTAATTATAGAGGTTTGGCTACTGACATGGTGTACTCTTTCCCCTCAAAAACTGGAAAAGATAGGAAAAACATAGAATTCTGACTTTTGGACCTGTCTCTGGAGCTACCTCCAAGATGTCCTCTGAACAAGCCAAGGGCATGGCCCTGAGTAAATGTGCAGCTGATAGATTTACTGTCCTGAGCATAAGTTTATATATTTAAATACATTATTTTGAATGAGATTGAGACAATAAATAAAATTTAAGAAATTCCTTTGGAGCAGAGCAAAGTGATTCATTTCTGTAATACCAGATACTCAAATGGCAGACAGTGGGAGGATTGCAGTTTTAGGCTAGCCCAGCCAAAAAGTTAGCAAGAATCTATGTCAATCAATAAGCCTGGTGTGATGGCATGCACCTGTGATTCCAACTATATAGGAGGCATAAAAATAGGAGGACCTGGGTCTGCAGATGGCCACTGGATAAAAACATGAGACCCTATCTGGAAAACAATTAAAAGTAAAAGAGTTAAGATTATGGCTAAAGAGGTAGAGCACCTGCCTAGCAAGTGCAAAGCCCTCAGTTCAAACTCCGGTACCATACACACATACACACAAAGAAATAAAGAAATCCTTTCTTACATTGAATGTAACCACATTTTCAACTCTAATGCATGCTTTATGAAAATAATGAACAGATACAATTTCTTCTGCCTAGAATAATTTCAAGAGTAGTGTTTAAAAGGAGCAAAACTTTGAAAAGTTCCCAACTTGTATATCACAAACTAGATTTACAACTTTTTTATACTTAAGTCATATGTATACATAGTAAAGTTTAAATGCTAATAAGCCTAAAGTTTAAGTGCAAAAGTAAACTTCCTCTACCACATAAAAATGTCATCTTTCTATTTGAGTTTGATATTATATTGTGGATTTTCTGTTGAGAAATAGTTTTTGTAATTACATTAATTGGACTTGCCAACCAATTCATAAGCCATTTATTTACATAAAATGTCACTACTAAGAAAGACCTAGTTTATTCCTAGTTTTTCCTAAATTATTTCTCTTCGTTAACTTTTATGCATTGTTTTGTGTGTGGGTGGGGAGCGGAATGGGACTTGAACTCAGGTTTTTGTACTGGCTAGGTTGGCACTCTATCACTTGAGCCACAACCTCAGCCCTATATTCTTAAATTTTATTCCTTGATACTAGAATTTTTTTTAACAGTAATAGTTTGTATTATTCAAGTATAGAACTTAGTAACTAGTTATTATTAGTGCTTTGTGAAAATCTTTCTTACTGTCTTTTTTTTATTAGGTGAGTGTGGTCCAAGATTCAGTAAACATATCAGGACATACTAATACAAATATGTTGAAGGTACCTGAATGTCGACTAGCAGAAGATTTAGGTAATCTTTGGGAAAACACAAGATTTACAGATTGCAGTTTTTTTGTGAGAGGACAAGAATTTAAAGCTCATAAATCTGTGCTTGCAGGTACTTTCTACTTTTGGGTAATATAATATGTTTTTAAAATAAATTTGTGCATTAAATAATGATGCTTAATCTTGTTACAGCTCGATCCCCAGTTTTTAATGCAATGTTTGAACATGAAATGGAAGAAAGCAAAAAGGTAAACATGATTTAAAGGTTTAGTTGATTTGTACACATTAAAATAGTGAAATATATGTATTAAAAATAATAGTAAAAGTTTTTGTTGTACTGTAAGTAGTAAAAATTTAGAGGCCATAGAGAGATGAGGGGAAATGTGTTCTATAATAGAACAATAGATGTAATTTAATGTGTATGCTCAGCTACTCCAAGTGATAGCTCTTTTCAGGCTCATCTGTTGGTAAATAATTGAGTAGTTGTTATCCTGAAGGGTGTGGTTAGTGGTAGAGCACTTGGCTAGCATGTACAAGATCCTAGTTCAAAATCCAGCACCACAGAAAGAAGGGCATGGGGCTGTTCTGGTTCACAGCTAATTGAGAGGCCTCTGCTTAAAGTGTATATTTTCTCTTTCTTTCTGGGAACACGGCTCAAATGGTAGAGTGCTTGTCTCACAAGTGGAAGGCTGAGTTCAAACCTCAGCTCCACCAAAAAACATAAAATAAAATGTATGTTTCTTCTTTCTAGACATTATGAACTAATTTTCTAATTTGTTTTCTAGCTGCAACAATCATATATGCATTTCTTTTCATCTCCAAATAAGATGTTTATTAGATTTAACAAAAAAGGACAAAGATTATATCACTATTACTGCATTCTAACAGAAATTAAGATACCTTTTGGCTCCCCCAGATGCTTTTCTCCATGTAGTTATGTGTGACATGAGAGGTTGATTCTTTGCTGGTTGCACAATGTAAGCTCCCGCTAGGCAGCTCCAGAATTTATTCACATGGCCCAGCTTTATTCTTTCTGCAGAAGTAGATGCTGTAATAAAATATCTGCTTTCTCTCAGCTAATAGTTGGCCTAGAGAAGTGCTATGATCAACCTTCTGATTGCTTCCAGATGAGAAAACATCGATGTTGTCAGATGTTACTGGCAAGAAAGGATCAGAAGAGTTTGGTATTGTTTAATGTTAGATAATTAGGTTCATTGATCTTAGGAGCAAAACGGAATACCAAGATATACATGTAAAAAAGCAACTAGTCCTGTTTGGACTTGAGGATGTCTCAAGTAAGCATGGAAGTGTCAGCAGATAATATTACATGTCGTTTTTGCAAAAATGAGATTTCTTAGCTACCAGCCCTACTTTTGTTTAATGCTAGGGTTAAAAAATGTGGTTATAGGGTCTTAGGCATTATATTAGGACCTAGAAATTCAACAAGGAAAAAGTTATCTTTTAAGAGAGAGGTCAGAAACTGAACACATATTCTTTGGACTACAGATTTTTGTTCTTTTTTAATTATTGAGAAACCAGGGCTCATATATTCCCACATGATAGTGCTCAGCCTGGTCTCAATATTAGGGCGTGTGCTTTCCAGCTGGTCATGGTCTCTACCTTTCATGCAGTCTATGCTTTCGCTCAGAGACTTACCTACTTCTGATTGACTGATTCACCTACTGAAGATTTACTTACCTCAATTTTAAAATAGAGTTTAAATATATTTGTGCCTTGTGTATGTTTGAATGGTAAAGTACTTTAGTTCAGATTCAGAGTTTTTAAATTACTGTCAGATTCACTTTGATAAATTTACATGTATGTATTCTTTAATTTTTGTGTTGTTTTCATTTTCAGAATCGAGTGGAAATAAATGATTTAGACCCTGAGGTTTTCAAAGAAATGATGAGATTCGTTTACACAGGGAAAGCACCAAATCTTGATAAAATGGCTGACAACTTGTTGGCAGCTGCAGACAAAGTAAGTGATTAGGTTTTAAGGAGCTGAAAAATATCCTCAAGCTTGATGTATATAGAAAGTTATCGTCAAGCAAAAATACCAAGTAACTTTCAACGTATTGAATTATTTTAAATAATTTATAGATAGCTCTTAAGTTTTTTGAAATAGCATACAGTAGATAATATAAAAATGAAATTGTTTGGGCTGGGATGTAGCTCAGTGGTACAGCGCTTGCCTAGCATGCTTAAGGCCCTGGGTTCGATCCCAGCACCAAAAAAGAAAAGACAAAAAAAAAAAAAAAATGAAATTGTTTAAAAAAACAAGCTGTAAAAATATCTTGAGCCAGAAGTGATTTTTTTCATGAGTGCTTAAATTGTAAGCCTGATACTTTGGAGTATACATATGTATATGTATATATTTTTTGAGTGTATATACATATATATATGTATGTATGTATGTATATATATATATATATATTCACTCTGATAAGAACACACAGTAGCATATAAAATCTATTTCACTTTTCAGATATTCTTAGATATAGTGTTTGACCTTTGTTTTTTTAAAAGAACGTGCTTAATTTAATGCTTTATATTTGTAAGTTTATTTTCTAATATAACAGCATAGAAAGAAAAGAAACAATTTTAACAATTTTATATCATAATAGTGATTTCTTAATGGTACAGAAACTGCAAAAGTATCAGAAAATCTTAAGTCTAGTCCTAAAAGCACATTCAATATATATATCTGACTTTTGTACTCAGAAGGTATAAAGAACTCTCAAAACTCAATTATAAAGAAACAGCGTTATCCTTAAGAGTGAACAGAAAATCAATGAAGTACATTAAAAGATGCCTAACATGATTAGAAATATGTAAATTAAAACTATCATGGTATACCTCTACCCATCTTTTATAATGGCTAAAATTATCAAGACCATACTCTTAAGTATTAGCAAGGATGTGGAAGAATTAGGACTCTCAGACATTGCTAATGGGAGTCCCAACCTCTTTGGAAAATTGTTAGGCACTTTTTTCAAAAGTTTAGTTTAAACTTACCATATGCTCCAGTGAGTCCACTTTTAGGTGTTTCCCAAGAAAAAGAAAGCCTATGTTTATATAAGACTTATATATGAGCAGGACACACACCTGTAATTGTAGATACTTGGGAAGCTAAGATTGGGAGGATTAAGGTTCCAGGCTAGCCAAGGCAAATAGTTTGTGAGACCTGATCTTCAAAATAAGCATAGCAAAGTAGGCTAGAGGTGTGGCTCAGGCAGCAGAGCTTCTGCTTTGCCAGTGTGAAGCCCTGAGTTCAAACCCCAGTCCCACCAAAAAAAAAGACTTGTATGTGAATGTTCATAGCAACTTTATTTGTAATAGGTAAGAACTGGAAACAACCCAAATGTTCATCAACAGGTGAATGAATAAACAAATTCTGGTGCATCTATATGTAATGGAATACTACTTAGTAATAAGAAAGATTGAGCCAGGTACCTCTTAGCTACTCAGGAGGCAGAGATCAGGAGGATCGTGGTTCAAAGCCAGCACAGGCAAATGGTCCATGACACCCTATCTTGGAAAAAGGGCTGGTGGAGATACCCAGTGCTGCAAAAAAAGAAAAGAAAAATTGAACTGCTGATCACAGACAATGACATAGATGAATCTGAAAATACTATACTTAGAGGAAGAACCAGACAAAAATGAGTACATATTATATGATTCCATTTATAGGAAACTTCAGAAAATAAAAAGTAGTCTATAGAGATAGCATATGTATTGCCTGGGGTGGGTCAAAAGGAAAAGATTACCATGGGGTAGGAGGAAGCTTTTGAGGAAATGGGTATATTCACACTCTTAAATGGATGGGCGGTTTATGGCCATGGAACTTAACAAAGTGTAAACTTTTACTGTGCTTTTTATTAAATGTCAGTTAATACCCCCAAGAAAACTGCTAATGATGTTTTACTACATTATATATACTAATAACTGTAAGAACTTTGGGTGATTATGAATATGATTTGTTTAGCTTTCAATTAATTTATTCTTCAAGATTGAGTAGTAGCAAGGTGTACTAAGTGGTACAATTTAGGTGTGAAATAGTACAAAAGAGAAATATACTTAATAGGAATTTTGACTAAAAAGGTGACTGTGCATAAATCTTACTTTAAAATACACTGTATTTTATGCATATTGAAATTTCCTAAAGCAAATTAGTCTTTTTCCTAAATGTATTCATTCATATTTTCTTCATATTAAGTTAACATAATGATTTAATGACTTTGAAAATAACTTTAGTTCAAAGGGTAATCTGATTTAACTTTATTTTCTAAGTTGAAAATATCATGCATTTGAAAACTTAGTGGTTGAAGTAAATGTTTAATATTTGTTTTGCTTTTGGATAGTATGCACTGGAACGGCTGAAGGTCATGTGTGAAGAAGCTTTGTGTAGTAACCTCTCAGTAGAAAATGTTGCCGATACCCTTGTCCTTGCAGATTTGCACAGTGCAGAACAGTTGAAAGCACAAGCCATAGACTTTATTAATAGGTAAGCTGTGGTTGTATTTCATTGGACATGACACCTTCAACCTTTTTTCACTGGACTTTTTTTTAAGTGTGTTTAAATCTTTAATGCAGGTGCAGTGTACTTCGACAACTTGGGTGTAAAGATGGGAAAAACTGGAACAGCAAGTAAGATGACTCAGTTTCTGATCTGCATAACTGAAATTAAGTGTTTGCATAGCCTTTTGCTCTTCTCCCATAAGTATGAATCCGTTAGTTATATCAAGCAGACAGATGTTTAAACAAAAAAATTGACTACTTAGTGGATTCCTAAGGCTATGCTCCCTGTAGATCAGCTTCTAATGCAAAGTGGGATGAATACTCTAATTTCTTAAGCACATATGCTATGTGGTATATAGCTGAGTCCAGGTATTTAAGGGCTACTGGGGATACAGCCTCTCCTCTTGAGAAAGTATTCCTAAAAATGTAGCAAGTATTCATTTTATCTAATGAGGAGTATAACCTCCACATTTGCTTTGAAAATCTTTACTTTTTTTGTTTTTCTCAATACTGGGGATTGAACCTCAGGCCTTACACAACTAGGCAAGCACTCTACTACTGAATACATATATCCTCAGCCCTTTTTAAAACTTTTGCTTGCCCAAGATGGCTTCAAATTTGCAGTCCTCCTGACTCAGCCTCTCAAGTATCTAGGATTATAGGAATGCACCATTATGCCCAGTGAAAGTCTTTATTTTTTGTTGTTGTTGGTTTTGAGACAACTTTTAAAATATTGGTTGTCCTGTATACTATTCAGTGCATGATACTACAGTATCAGCATGGTGTATGATCTTAGAAAAAAATGGTTTTGAATTAGCAGCAAAATAACAATTCTATAAAGTTTTTTTACTTAATCAATTTCAAGCTTTAGTTTTACTCTGTTAAGAAATATATTGGAGCCAGGTCTGTGGTGGTACAGGCCTATAATCCTAGCACTTAGGAGGCAGAACAGGAGATCATGAGTTTGTTGCCAGCCTGTGATGGTGAATACCTGTAATTCCAAGTACTCAGAACTCAAAGGCAGGAGGATTAGAAGTTTGAGGAGAGCCTGGTCAAAGTTAGTGAGATCCTATATCAAAAACAATGTAAAACAAAAGGGCTGGGAGCACAGCTCAAGTGGTAGAGCACTTTCCAGGTAGTTTCAATCCCAAGTGCCACCAAAAAAATAAATAAGTAAATATAAAAGAAAGACATACAACTTTTATATTGTCAAAATATATTATCCTATTTAATACGCTCTGGAAAAGTTGTGTTATATATACAAGCCTTCAATAGATAGTAATCAAATTAATAAATGAAAAGGTCAGGCATATTAATAGGTATCTGTGATTCTAAAAACTAATTGAAGTTTTAAACAAAATGACACATTGATAATTTGATGTTTGGCAAATAAAAATTTATTTTGTTGATAGCAGGTACTAGCTGCTGTTCACTTCAGCAAATGTTAATGCAGCATTTATTGTTTCTCAAGCACCATGCTAACATGCTGCATATCAAAAAAAATATTTGAGGAGAAAAATCTTTGTTCATGAGAAATTTATCTAATGGAGATAGGTACATAATTATACTATTTCATTATAATATGGTAAGTAATTTGATAGAAGAGGACATGTACAGGCATTTCATTAAACCTGGAGATTTAGGAGTGGCTTCTTGCAGATGACCGAACTGAATCTTAAAACATGAATAGGTGTTACCAGACTCAGAAGAAAATAGCAGAAAATACAAGCAGAGAGGATAGTGTGAATCAAAGTATAGAAGCATGAAGAGGTAGTTGATTGTTCATTTGACAGATTCTTACCTTTTATTTTCAGTAAGTTTCCAAGGCACTGTGCTCTGCACAGAGAATATAGTGATGAGCATGGCAGATGTTTTTCCTCCCTTCAAGGAATTTATGGCTTAGTAGCAGATTAATTGAACAGGTAATTTGCAACAAAGTGTGATGATAAAGAATATGAAGCACCAATAGCAGCATATAGCAAAGGAACCTAGTCTTATCTAGGGATCACAGAAAGCCTTTGCAGGGCATTGTGAAAATAAAGGTCTACAGTATTGATAGGAGGTACCCTGGTGAAGAAGAAAGGAAGGAAAGCATATCCCAGAAAAGGAGAGCAAAGATATGCAAAGTCACAGTGATCAGACAGACAGCAGAGAGAAGCGATGGGGAGCGAGCAGTGTATTTGTGTGTGTGTGTGTGTGTGTGTGTGTGTGTGTGTGTGTGTGTGTGTGTATGTTTGTAGGGTGGGTAATAGAATAAGCTAGAGAAAGCAGATGGGTCAGATCTGCAAAGCCACATACTATTAGGACTTTCAGGCATTATTCAGAGAGTATTGAGCTTCCAGTAAAGTTCATCATCTAATGTGGAGCATGATCATGTTTGCATTTTTAGCAGTCATTCTGCATGTTAAGTTGGACACAATAGATTATGAGGAAGGTGGTGACGGTAGTTGAGGAAGAAGGTTAAATACAGGTAGACCAGTTGAAATGTTACTGGAGTAGTTCAAGCAAATACATGAAGGAGAAAATTTTACTTGATTGATGGCAATGAGACTAGAGAGAAATCTATAAGAAATATCTTGAAGGGGGAATCTGTAACATTTGGGATAGTATTTGGATGATGGGTGGTAAAAGGCAAAGAAAAGGAGAGGAAAATGTTCCTAGAGCTGTTGCTTGAACAATTACTCCGATTCCCCAGCAAGAGCATATTAACATATAGGGTACAGTAAGCAGTTTAGTCCCAGAGTATAAAAGGCCAGATCATAGAATTAGGAGTAGAAAGCTATGGAGAAACGTGGGAAACTAACACTAATGAACTCTGTTTCTTTTTCTAAAAGCTTAATTATAGGAAAGAACAACAATGAAACAGAGCATGATACAGTCACATTTATGTTACTAAGGCAGCATTGTAAAAGCTAGATTGAGAGGAGCAAGATAGGAGACAAGAAAACAAATTAGGAGACTAGTAATAATATGAATGTGAGAGGAAGAGAGCCTTAACCAGTGATTATGGACATCTTTAGGAATTAAAATAGTACTTTGATGACTAAAGAGGACAGGCTTTAGAATGATTCCCAGGTTTCTGACTTAAATCACTATATTATGCTGGAATCTAAATGAAGGAAAAATTAGGGGATTGAGGAAAGAGATGATAAGTTCTTAGCTGATAATTCTGAATTTGTGGGACTCAGGCACATTCAAGTGAAAAAGAGCAAATGGTTAAGAATGAACCTTGTGGGAAGGACTAGTTTTTAGCAAGTCAGTAGTTATCATCATTGAATATAATTGCTAATGTTGTGAAGAGTGGACAGGATAGAATGAATAACTCATGCTACAGGAGAAGAACAGAGGGCAAAAGTTAGAACTCTAGACAAAACCTGCCTGTAAGAAGCACATTTAATAAGAGAAAGGGCTCTTCAAAGAGCTGGTATTGAAATGGTAACAAAGAGAGTAGAACTATAGACATGAGTGTCACATAATTCAGGTGTCAAACTTCAAAAAACTTCAGTAGTTTCAGTTTCAGCAAGATAAAGAGGATATTTTAACAATTTAAATGATTTGAACACATGGAGAGAAGTAGGGAAGTGTTCAAACATTTGAAAATCCACAAATTAACAAAAGAATTGATGATACAATGGTGCATTTTGAAAAGTATTCTGTAGTTAACAACACTTAATTTTGTTTTTCAGCCAAGCAACTGATATAATGGAAACATCAGGGTGGAAGTCCATGATTCAGTCTCACCCTCACTTAGTAGCAGAAGCCTTCCGAGCACTAGCATCTGCACAGTGTCCACAGTTTGGCATTCCACGCAAACGGCTAAAGCAGTCCTGAATCTTCCACGGACAGTAGAAATGAGTTGACTTTACTCCCCCAGGTCCAGAAGAATTTTAATACACAGACCATAAGCAGGAGTTGTTTCTGTTTTCTTGTCCACAGAACAGAAGCTGGAAAGTCATACTGCTTGCATTTCAGGTGGATAATTTATGGTTTATACTTCAGCTTTAAATTAGACTGATTAATTCACTTCAAGGCCTTAAATTATCTTCAATGACTTCTCTTGTTCATATAATACTTTAATTTTTTATTGTGCCTTGCATTTTGACCAAGGCTATGCAGGATTGCACTAGCTCCATAATGCAGTAATATCAATAACTGAAGATACTAAGTTTCAAAAGGATCTTCCATTATTTTGAGAAAAGAAAAATTAATTTTATAGGGTTTGTCCTATGCTATCTCAAAGTTTAAAACTAGGTTCTCCTTAAAGGCACTTGTATTGGAGATTACTAAAAATGTCTCCAATCCGAGTTCTATAAATACAGAAGAACCTGCTTACCTTCAAGGTAAGTTATGGCAATACACTGCTTCAATTTAATTTATTTTTCATTTCAGGGGGCAAATATGCAATGAGTTGGCCCAAATTGTTAGTAAAATCTGTGATGTTTGTCTGTGTGTTAATTGTTCAAGAAACTGTGGATTTGTCCAAGTTTACAGTGATTGAAAATTGATTGAGGTTAAGATTTCAATAAGAAGAAAGCATGTATTATGCCGAAGTAATTTTTTTTAATTTATAATGACCTACATTTATATGAAGAATTCTGTACATGTTAAAAGTAAGGATGACCAAATGTAAATTTAATGAGTGGGCCAATTAAGAAAGATATATATGCACTTTTAATGTGTAACTTTTGTATGCTGAATGGTACATATATTTTTTTGCTTTTGAGGGGATTAATATGGTATAATTAATTGTGTTTTAACTTTTGAAAGAATTTTTTAAAACAGATGGCAACTTGGAAGTTTGTGATAATAGATAAGAAAGTTATTCTTGATCGTAGATAATCTGGCTTAATTTTGGATATTCATTATTCAATTTATTCCTGTTTTATCACACTTTGGAAAAGGCATCTGAAGAATAAATGACTTATAGACAGTCAGCTCTCCTTCAAACAATGAATGGATATTATTTGCCTATGGGAGAGCTATGGTAAAGGAGAGAACCCTTAGACTCCGTCAGGCCACACTATGAAACTTCATTTTCCCCTTATTTTCTCCTTCATGTTTCGGTTACTGTACTGACATCATGGATGATTGAAATTCTGTACAATGTGAACAGGATAAACTATTTATAAACTGCTTTTCATGGGCCAGTTCTTTATTATAAACAAATTTTAGCTTTAAATATACACAAATGTTCTGTGTTTGACAGTTGTGAGGTCTGTTGTGACGCACTCTCTTGGAGAAGCAGGAATGAGGAGTGTCAGATCATTGCAGTTGACTTTCTGCAGCAGTGACAGTGCTCTTCTTTCACAAGAATTGTATCTGACCACAAGAAAAAAGTGTCTCTGAAAAAAACAAATGCATATGCCTATATGTTTGCATATGCAACTTTATTCTCCTGATGAAAATGCACGTAAACTTGTTTATTTTGTTTTTGAATTCAGAACAAAAAGAAAACAGCAAGCTTAAGGTTTTAAAATATATTTTTTGCTATCACTTTGTTCAGTGTTAACTGAAACAGTCTAAGATATCAAGAGTGATTCATATTTACATTGAACAAATCCTGTCAAATATCATTTGTTGTCCAAAGCAAACTGGAGTTTGAAAAGATCATATTTTCACATATCTTAGTTTGAGTCTTTGTTGTGGTAACTTAAATTTAAAATTTGAAAGAATCCCTTGGGATAGAAGAAAGATTCTTACCTGGTAATGGACTTCATTCCCTGTAAGAGTATCTTGACAAGTAGAAATTCACTTCATTAAATTAACAAAACCATAAGATTAAGCTTATTAAATTTATAATGTGCAATCTAAAAATACACATACACACATATAAGTTTTTTTCTATGGTATTATAAGAAAGCAAAGATTCCATCCAGCTATAGAATTATGTTGTATATTTTTTAAATATAATGGTACACCCATTTATATTAAATGCACACGACCCCACCACATTAGGAACTAATTTCTAACCACACTTCTAACCACAGTGACTTTAATAAAAATACCATGTGATGAGCATTTCAACTTGCCCTTCCTCTAGTGTTTATTGCAAATCTTAAGGATTTTATTATTTTTTTTTTAAGTTTGGTAGCACATTTGTACCAAAAATGTCAAACACTGTGCTATAAGATACCCATGTTTATAGAAATGTCCACTTTTCAGATAATATAATATCTACCATTATACTAACAGAATCTTATGGTAGTTGATTTATTTTTTTATTTATTATGTATATTTTTGGTATTATGGGTTCTTGAGCAATGATTAAAAAAACTGTTAATGTATTCTTATGTGAGTGCTCTAATAACCTTTATCACCCACTGCCCCATTTTCAAATTATGTAAATTTTTTTCAAAATAGGCACAGTTTCTGTCTGGCACAGTCTTGTCTTTTAAACTACCAGCCTGCTCCTGTGTCCCTTTTGTCTCATAAACAATACTTTTCCTTTCAAAATAGTAAGTGGTTTTAAGCATTACATATTACCGAAGTAACCATTAGAACACTTCTTTAGTCTAAAATTTAGAAATACTATATTTGTGCCTTTTTCATTTTTAATTTTAATGTGTTTTGGTATTTGGAGCACAAATATGAAGGTGCCATAATATGGCTTGCCAATGTTACCTCCTTGAATACTCATGTCATTGTCTTCAAATGGTGATTGAAACATTGCATGAATTACACAGTCATTTGTATGAGGTGTGTGTGTTGTGTGTGTGTGTGAGTATCTCTATTCACTTGGGCTATGTGTTGTGTGTTCAAGACTGAATTTTTGAAAATAGGACTCTGTTAAATGTTGAAAGTTGAGGTTAGTTGACATATTTCCCTTAATTGTGCTTTATTTAGAGGGAGAGAGTTGATTGACAGTAAATTTAACCCTCAAAAATGTGACCAATTTACTGCAAATTACCAATTTACAGTGCCTTTTTAGGACATCAAGTATAAATAAGTTTTAAAGTATTAATGCAGATCTCTGAAAGATGTTATGAACATTATTGATTGATTTTTAAGCTAGATCTAAGTGATTGCTTAAATTGTCAGGAGTATAATTATTAATTTACCCATCTGAAATTTTGTGCATAAATGTAAAATCTAAGCAGAATTCTTCATAAAATCATGGATAAATTCTAAGGTTGTAGCTTAGAGGTAGAATGTTTAGTACTAGCATTTTCAAGGTGCTGGGTTCAATTCCCAGCACTGCCAAAACAGAAAAAAAATTATGGATCATATGTACTACCCACTGGTACTAAAACACCGTAGGGACTTTGGTAAGTTAAGTTTTGTGACAATTCAATCAGAAATCTTTGTTTATAGCCACATTACTTAAAGAGGTGAACTTGTTTGACTTGGACATGCATGTTGATGGATAAAATAAAAATATTCAATGTGTTCTTGAAAAAGGTGGATGGGTGTGTGGGTTTGTTTTAATGTTCTTAGATTACAAATACAGCACTTTCAGCACACATAAGAGTATTTTGCAAACTTTTTTATACAGATTATGAGCTCTACTTTATTTAAGTGTTCATGGAATGATGTAAATTTTAGGTCCAGTTGAACAAATATTGAGTGCCTACCATATGCAAGACTTCCTCTTCACTAGGAATGAAATCACACAGTGTCTTCTGTTTGTAGTATGTGAAATTATGTTTGAAAAGGAATTCTTACATTTAAATATTTTTCTGTTATTAGAATTTATTGTTGTATATTGTAACCCATTGATTTTGCAGTCAGCTTTTAAAAATGAAGATATAACTAAATTGAGTCCCGTTTTTGAAAATAAAATTTCTGCTAAAATTATTTAAATATTAGTTCTAAAGGAAGTTGACTTTCAAAATTCAAATGTTTAAAAACTTACTGAACTTTTCAGCCTCATTTTTAATCAGTTGATGTTAATGATGAGATACATGCTACTTGTATCTTGTTGCTGAAAATATCTTTTTGCATTTCAGCAGGTTGAGTTAAAATAAAGTTGTTATTACTTATTCAGAATGAAATGGCTTATTTTGTATTTATTTGAATCTTCCCTAAAATGTCTTCTTTTTTTTTAGATTAGTGCATTCCTTTGTTATGAAAACTTGAATTTTCCATAGTAATTGTCTTTTTTATATAGGGAAGTTTGTATTTATTGGAACCTACTAAAGACTCTTTTACTGAAATATTACATATATATTTATCTTAGCATGTGCCTGCCAGCCATATTGAATGTCCTATTCTAATATCACATATGTTATGTAACAGTTAAAGATCACCTTTTCCCTAGCACTGCTGTCCTTTGTTATTGCAGACAATGTAATCATTTGATGCTACCAAAAGTTGATTTGAGGCAGCATATTCCTGAACCAGTTTAGTAACGTTAACACAATTAGTGATTAAAAATTGTGGCCAAGACATAGTTAGAAGGGCACAGTGAAAAATCTTCCATGTATCCAACATACATGTACTCATGTACCAGATTCTCCTGCAAAGAATAAAAGATAAAAGAAAGATTGTAAAACTTAAAGCATTGTCTATGCAAGTATACTAAAATAGGATAAGTGGGTTATTTGGAACTTTAGTAATGGACTCCCTTTTACTCTACAGCAGCCAGTGCTTGGGTTTAGAATGTTGGGATGTGTGTTTCTTCTACCACCTCAGAATCATTTGCTCCTAAGAGAAGGCCATCCTGCTTTGATCACTTTTTTAAATAGAAGAGGCATTATTGGAAATTTTTGACAAAATATTTTGTTACTGCTTTTTTCCTTATTTTTTTTCCGTACCAGTAATAGTAGCAAAAATAATTGGCATTCCTGTTTCCTATAGTGCTTCTTCCATTCCATCTTTCCCTCTCTCTCTCTCTCACCTATCTTCCATTTTTGTTCTTTTTTGTCAAGTATTCACATGTAATTATACTGTGCCAGTCTGTGATTATAACTGCCAAACAATTCCTCTATTATCTATTCCTACCCCTTTTCTCAGATTCAAACCAGGCCTTAATAGATTATAAGCAAAGAGAAAAATTGTGTGATGTAGAATAACAAAGCATGAAAAAAAGCAACCAGTGCTCAGAGGGCTCTGAAACATTTTCTGCACTAAAATATGTTACTACCATAAGTTTTTAGAATGTATACTTTTAAAGTGCTAAAAAATGTGAGGGTCATTATGAAAATTGAACAGGCAAAGATGACAAATGAAAGTGATAATGCAGTTGAAAAAGAATAGTCTGGTTAGATGCATTAAATTTGCAAAATGCCAGAAATGATAAAGCAGACATTTGAATCAGTAGAAAACAAGGCTAAAATATGTTCATTAATCAGAAGGACAAGAATAAAGCAGTGAAAATAAAGGTAGTTTCATTTAATTTCAGTCAATAATGCATTAAGTGAAGTGCCTAAAGTTGTGCGGAACCCTGTTGATGATAATAAAGTAAAAATGGTTTGTGTCCTCATGAAGTCTGTTTTCTTGGTGAAAGCACAATTAAATCACTATTGCTTCTTGCAGTAAGAATAAGGAAGAACACCTAATGAGGTGAGAAAAGAGGCTGGGAAACTCAGCTTTCCTGAGTAAGTGATGTCTAAATTGAGATTGGGAATTAGGCCCTTAGTAGGGTTATCATTAACCCATTTTGTGAAGTCACAGAATTTGACCAAGATTCATAAGGAACATTCATAGAAATGAAGACTAATAGAAGTCTAATGTAAACCAATTAGTATGGGAATGGTTTTAAGTAAACTATTGAAGAAGTTGGACTTTACCCAGAAGCATGGAAGGATTTTAAATGGGGGAGAAAAGCAAGGGCATGTCACGTTCATGAACAATATCAATCTTCAGATACATTAGGAAGGGAGGATGTTAATACTCTGCGTGAGGCTTAGAAACATTACAGTGGGGAAAAAGATTTGAAAGGAAATATTAAAAGGACTTGGAAGATAAATTGCACATGGTAGAAGGAACAGAAGAGTCTAGAGTGGTTCCCAGGTTTGCATTTGGATAAGCAAGTGGTGGATGTTGCCATCACTGATAGAGTAATTGCAACAAGGGTAGAAGTGATTTTGAAAGATAAAGCATTTATAAATTTAAGGCTTCTATGGGGCATTCTCACTGGATATCCTAAATTTGAGAGCAATACCATTTATAAAGTCAGGAATCATTAATATATAGTCAATAATTGATGTATGTAGGGTAAAAAGAAGGCAGTGCAGGGCAGAATTGGGGACAAATAAAGAAGCCTGCCAATGAAGATAAAGAGTGTGCCCCAGAAGTGGGAGAACAGAATGTTTCAAGAAAAGAAATGGCTGTCACATGCTGTTGAGAAGTCAAATATAAGGCTAAAATATAAACAAGATCTTTCAAGGAAGAAATGAAAGGATTCTGAAATAGATAAAAAATTGGAATGAGGAAATGACTGTTGCTAGTGTAGAACATGGGCTGCTTAGTGAACATGGGCAAGGAGAAAACCCTAACTTGGATGAGGTTAAGTTGACTTTCTTATATTTGTTTTCCTTTGGAGGGAGTAGTGTCTGTATATTAAGACGGTGAGAATCGAGAATAGAACATAGATGGGATTACTGAGGTCTTGTTCAGAAAAGAAGAATAGAGTCAGATGGCAGGCAGGGAGATTGTCCCATTAATACATGTGAGAGAGAAATGCAAAGATGCAGAATCAGATTTGCACCATTTTGGGTTTTGCCTTAAATTGATACACTCTCATATTTTGTGTTCTATGTGACATCAGCTATTTGGAGTAAAGAAGTGAGTGATGGGTTTACAGCAGAAATCAGTAAACTTATTTTTAAGGATGAGCTAGTAAACGTTTTATAGTTTGTGCCATCATAGTCTGAAAGCAGCCAGGGGCAGTGCGTAAACCGAACATGGCCATGTTCATTAGACCTGTTTACAAAAGCAGGCAGCGGAAAGGATTTGACCCTGGGTCATAATATGCTAAATTGAAAGATTTGAGGAGAGCAAAGAATCTTTGAAATAACTGACATGGAGAAATCCACCTGGGTGGCCCAGTTGAGATCGGAGGCCATGGGTTTACAATGAGTTGCAGCCACTGCTTGCATAACTGATGTTTCCAGAGAAGGAATAGAGTCAGTGATTAAAGACAGTAGGAAGTCACTTTTCTTCAGACAAACAGAAAGAGTTCATGAATACACATTTAAACCTAGACACGTGAGTGATTTTTAAATTGGAAAGATAAATAATTTGAGCATCTCAGTAATGAACTTTAAAAGTTCTATTATTCTCATAACACTTTTTCTGTAAGTGAAAAACACTCGACTCAAGAACTCTTAGCTATTTAATGATTCATTTCTATACTTAACATACAAATTGTATAGAAGGGTTTTTTTGTTTTGTTTTTTGATTGGATTGGGGTTTGAACTCAGGGTTTCTTGCTTGCAAACTAGGTGCTCTACTGCTTGAGCCCCACTTCCAATCGCATTTACTCTGGTTATTTTGAATATGGGGGTCTCATGAACTGTTTGCCTGGGCTGGCCTTGAACTGCGATCCTCCCAGTCTCACCCTCCCTAGTAGCTAGGATTACAGGCATGAGCCACCAACACCCAGTAGAAGTAGTTTTTAAGTATGTTTTCATAGTACCCAAAACAGGGAACGCTAAAAATTGATCAATATTAGTTCAAGTTTAGGAAGTTGAAACTTGTGAGGACTAGCAGTGAGTATTAATCTATTGGAGGGAAATCAATTTACTGTAACATTGCTTACAAATATAAGAGACAGTGAACATCTGTTATAAATAAAAAGAACACGAGGCAAAAGCAAAGATACAATGAGTAGGGAAATAAGTGGAGAATTCTTCCTCTTCTAGAAATGATAATGAAGAGTGTTTTCTTATTGATTTCTAAACTTTAAGTTATAAATATTTAAGGATTTAAAATGAACTATACCCAAAAGCACAAATTGTACCTTGCAGGTGTGCCAAAGTGACATTGCATGTGCAACAATGTGAGGGAAAAAATCATAACACTGAAGGAGAAGGCAAAGAGAATATTGCAAAGATTGAGCAGAAGATGTGGGGTGTGTCACAAGTGGTGGAGTGGTTAATGGGGGCTGAGGGAGGGAGGAAAGGGGTGAGGGAGGATAACGGGGTGGGGGGATGTTGGGGGTGATCTAACCAACGTACAAGGTAAGGATATTCGGAATTGGCACAATGAATCCCCCCTGTACAAAGACTGCATCCTAATAAAAATGAAAAAAAGAAGTGATAGAGTGCTTGCCTGACAAAGACGGAACAGAATTATTGTGCACAGTTTGAGTACCTCTTTCAATCTCATTGAATTAATTCTATGTCCACATCTCACAAGAAGTCTTTACAAGCCAAGTATGGGGGAAAAAGTCTTCATTTACCATAGAAGATACCAGAGTGGGTGTCCTTTGACCAGGTTGATACCAGTACTCAAAAATACAATGACCACTAGAGGTATTCAAAATAAAAACCTAAGGAACTTAGCATTATGCTTATTACTTTAAATTGTTCTAGATATTTTACTCTATGAAATAAGAGATGGACCAAATAATCAATGGAAGTGTGGAAAGGAGGGCTGTATTTGAAAATTATACATAATTGTATTCTAAGAGGACATAAATAAAACTTACAACTTAATGCAATTTTGTTAGAATGGCTAGGACAGGCTGGAGGCAATCTATAAGATAGAGGCACTTGCAGAAGCCGTCTATGGGAACCAAGATCCCAATCACTGGCAGAAAATAAACAAGAAAAGGGAATGACTGCGAGGTGTATGAATTCTAAAAGGAACAGAGTATCTTACAAAATTATGCTGACA